GCTCATGGTGCGCATCGGCGTCTTCAGCGTGCTCTATACCGTGCCCGCCACCATCGTGCTGGCCTGCTACTTCTACGAGCAGGCCTTCCGCGAACACTGGGAGCGCACCTGGCTGCTGCAGACCTGCAAGAGCTACGCCGTGCCCTGCCCGCCCGGCCACTTCCCGCCCATGAGCCCCGACTTCACCGTCTTCATGATCAAGTACCTGATGACCATGATCGTGGGCATCACCACCGGCTTCTGGATCTGGTCTGGCAAAACGCTACAGTCGTGGCGCCGCTTCTACCACAGACTCAGCCACAGCAGCAAGGGGGAGACTGCGGTATGAGCCCTCCCCCTTCGGCCCCCCACTCCTTAATAGAGGGAAAGGCACGGGAGAGAAAGAACTTCTAAATGGGGGAGGGGGGCTTTTCCTGAACCTCCTCCCCCTCCAAGGAGAAGTGACCTGGAAGGGAAAAGGTTTCTGTGGGTGTGGGACGAGGTTTGGAAAGGAGGCCTGAGTGGGAAGACGGTTTGGATGAAAGGACTTCTGGCAAAGACTTGCAGGATAATGATGATGATCCTAATAACGATGGTGTTTGTCATGTACGGTCCGGACGGCCTGGGCCTGTGGAGAGGAGTGAGACCAGCAGAGAGTGCTGAGTTTCTCCCAGCTCCAGCTGCCCTGGGGCTGTGAGCGATTCCCCTGCTGCTAGACCGGCGGCCTGTCTTCACTCCCGTGAGGCCCGGGTGAAAGGTACAGCTCTGTCTGCGGTGGCCGCTTTGTTGAAAAAGGGTGGACTCCCTGCGGTGCCCTTGTCAAGCGGTGGTCAAACCATAATCTCTTTTCACTGGGGCCAAACTGGAGCCCAGAAAATCTAATTTCCAGGGTCAGACATTACAGTCCACAGTCTCTCCTCCCCTGCCCAGGCCCTCCGGCCTGTTGCTTCCCCCACCCCCCACCCCCTGACTCCTTTCAAGTCTTGAAAAATAAGCATTTGGAAGTCTTGGGAGGCCTGCCTCCTGGAATCCTAATGTGAGGATGCAAAAGAAATGAAGGCAGCCTTTGGAGGTGATGCAAAGGAGTAGTAGGTATTTCTGCTTTTTTTTATTTTCTGGGGAAAGCCGGAGGAAGAGAGAAGGGTGTTTTATTTTGTTTGATACCCTGAAAAGAAGTGATGACTTGTTGCTTTTCAAAACAGGAATGCATTTTCCCTCTTGTCTTTGTTGTAAGAGACAAAAGAGGAAACAAAAGTGTCTCTCTGAGGAAAGGCATCACTGTGAAGACAGCAAATTTTACAGGCGAAGTAGCGCAAACCTGAGGTTTCTCTCTGGATGTTCATTCGGTTGAGATAAACATTCCTTTTTAAGGAAAGGTGAAAGGCAAGTGTGTTTCCGTACCCCCACTGGGTCAGAGATTCTGACTGGGCCAGAGGAAATGCAAGGGGGTTTGTTGTTTGCTTTATATCAATTTTAATTCAGAACACATGATCCAATGAAATGGGCTCTGTTAAAATGTGAAGGGAAATCCCTCCCTTCATTTTTTTTTCTTCCTAGAAACCTGCCTGTAGGTTTTCTTTCTATATTTTTCTCCAACTTGAATCCTCCTAGGTAAAAGGAAGAGCATAATGTTTTCAGCCTCCATAATACAGACAAGTTAAATTTTAGAACTAAGGAAAATTTTCGTCCTGTTTTCATAGTCCCATCAATCCATCTATAACACATCATGTGTCTGCTGATCCCGTCTTTGTGTGGCTGGGTGGGGAGGTGACCTGCAGAAATGATAGTAAATGAAGAGGACTATTCAAATGAGGGGCCCCCTTCTTAAAGAAAGTCATTAAAAGAAGGTAAACTTCAAAGTAATGCTGGAGTCCTTTGAAATGTGCTGGATGACTTCAATTTATTAATCTTAAATCATGTACTTTTTTTTTCTGTAATAGAACTCTGATTTTTTTTGCGTAATGGTCTAAAGCTGAGCAGAGGATCATGGGAACTAACCTTTACTCCACCTTTGACACCACCCTCCAATCTTGCAACACTGTCCTATTTCTCAAAACAGTTTTAAAATGCTGTTTTGAACAGTTTTTAAATCATAGAGGGTGCTGTCAGGAATACAAGTTACTTTCTATAATGTTCAGTCGAGTGGAGCTGCTTTTTATATGAAAGTTATTGACCTTAGGTTTCTTAAACCTCCAAAACGGTCTCATTTGTCAGATTTTTAAAACTCCCACCATGCAGTTCTTTGGCATCTTTTGTGTTGTATCTCTTGCATGTGAAATTTGTAAAATAGAGACAAGTGCGGTATGTATATTTTGTAAATCTCCCATTTTTGTAAGAAAATATATATTGTATTTATACATTTTTACTTTGGATTTTTGTTTTGTTTTGCCTTTAAAAGTCTACAAGGAAGCCCCACTTTATCACATGTACAGATCACAAAATAAATTTTTTTTAAAATACCAAGTGAATGTTTGTTTAGTTTACAGTGCCTATATATATATGTATATATCAGTAAGCCAAAAAAAACTAAGCTTTAGTGGTATGGAAACAAGGTGTGGAGAAACACATTGGATGGCTCTCAAAGAGGAAGAGATGATCTATAGGGTATCCCCCAAAAATGTATACACACTTGAATAATTATCAATTCCAAAATGGGTTAAATCTGAAAAAAAAAAAAGAAGCATCAATTGAGCGATCATCAGCTATTAAAGTGTGCATACATTTTTTTATTGAGGTCTCTTTTTCATTGTATTTTTTAAAAAGGTCATGAATGCCTTAACTGTCCCTTAATTTTTTTTTCTGTTGTTGCTGCTTCCTGCCGGTCTCCACACCACCCACCACACACTCCGGTAAGCCTTTTCACATCCTGCTTTGGATAACTGACTGAAGGTACAGAATAAGCATCGCTTTTAAAGAGCTGCTATCTGATCCATGTTTTTACTTCCCTTCAGCGGTGAAGTACGTATTCCAGAGAGAACTAGAAGATATTGTTGGTCTGCTTTTCTTGGGAAGAATTCAGTAAGGGGTGTGTGTGTGTGTGTGTGTGTGTGTGTAAACTGATTCGTGTTTTGCATTATCCTGATGAACCTTATCTGAATTGTTAATACCTAGGTCCCTTGGGTTCAGGTGGCTGGGAAAGTCCTGGGACGATTCCAGACAATAGCAAGGGCCTTGCCTAAGGAGCATTCCTCAGCTGTAAGCTGCATTCTCCCTTCTAGGTCAACTGAACCAGAGGTCAAGTGACTCCCCGAGGTGGCAGTGAAGGTGGCAGTGACTCAGCAGCTCTGGCAGGAATAGACTCCAGGCCTCACCCCAGGGAAAGCCTCAGAAGCCACTGAAGCTATTCTTCCCTCTTGTCCCAGAAGCCGACTTTGGAATCAGATTAGACTGAGAAGCCTTCGCTATCCAGGCACTTTGATATTAAACAGTCCCTCGGGGAAATGATAAAGGCATTCTTAAATACTTCCAATTTCAAGCCTGCTAGCTTTTTTTTTTTTTTTTTCACCTGCCTCTCTTCTTTAATTCAGGTGCTGTTTCCTGGCTTTTCACAATACAGTTGCCTCATTCTCAGGCGGCCCTGGAGACCCAGCAGTAGCCTAGATGCTGCTGTTTTTCTTCCCTTCCTCGGCTCTAAGGTTCTGCACTTCTAAAGCCCCACAGAAACAGTTCTGTTTTTGTTTTAATTAACAGGCTCACACACATGGCTGGTGCACTTCACAAATACACAGAGTGCAAGCCAGCGACAGACGGTCCTCCCCAGGAGGAGGAAGTCACGCGGCTGCACTCTGTGCAGAGAGCAGCTCTAAGATCCTCCTGGGTTTGAGCATCACAATGGGTGTGAGGTCACCCTCACCTGGGAAGATCTGGGCATCTAGGAAGGCAAAAAATAGCCACTTCTAGTCTCTTAAGGTTTATCCAGTTTTTGTTCATAAAATGACACCTTTTAGGTTAAAGCATGCTTTTTCTTTTTAACACCACACTAATATGGCCTATTAAGAAGAATCGTTTGCTTTTAGGGTAGGTGGAAGGCTCCCAACAGGGTTCTTTGCTCACAAATTAACCGCTACAGGCACTTAGGCCCTTCTGCGGGGAGAGCTGCGTGACTGCTCCTGTAAATGTGTCCCTTTCCTCTTCCCAGCACCGCCTGGTCCTTCGGGGCTCCGAGATGGAAGAGCATCGGTCTTTAGTGAGGGAACAAAGACTGTGTATGAATAAATTACTACCTGCTTTTTTGTAAGCAGAGATAAAAGTGCTCAGTTTAATTCCTTTCACGTTGTGGTTGTCCTTAATGTAGTTCTTTTTTTCTTTCTAAGTAATTTTTATTTTTGAAATAACTTTACTATTTCATTATATTCATATGGAAAAAATGTAAAGACAAAAATATAAAGAAAATGAAAATTATCCAGTATACCCCCAAAATACAATAACAAATGATTATTTTTTTCTAGTCTTTTTTTTTGTGCATTTACAAACACATCAGCCATGTGTGTGAGCCTGCTAATTAGAATTTTGAAACAAAATTAGTACTGTAAAATGCTTACAGACCCTTTTTTTTTTCATTTTATAGTATAGAGCAACCAATTCTTTAGGACATTAATTAAATAGCATATAAAAACATGATCTTCGCTGAAACCGGTTTGGCTCAGTGGATAGAGCGTCAGCCTGCGGACTGAAGGGTCCCAGGTTCGATTCCGGTCAAGGGCATGTACCTGGGTTGCGGGCACATCCCCAGTAGGAGATGTGCAGGAGGCAGCTGATGGATGTCTCTCTCTCATCGATGTTTCTAACTCTCTATCTCTCTCCCTTCCTCTCTGTAAAAAATCAATAAAATATATATATATATAAAAAAAAAACATGATCTTCAGTTGGCTGCTTCACAATCTAATTAGAGCTAACCCATCATTTATCCCCAATTTTTGGATATTCAGTTGGTTTTGAATATTCGCTATTAAAACTAACACTATATTAAACATCCTTCTTTATATATAGTTCTTTGGATGCATTTTTAATTTTTTAAAGATAAGAGGAGTAAAGTAACCCGCATAACAAAGTGTAAGCATTTTTAAACCTGATTTTACCCAACTCTCCCCAGAAAGATTGTACCGATTTACAGTGATACCAATAGTTCGAGTTCCATTTTGTCTTCATAGTCCTTGGCAACATAGGAAATTGGATGTCGCCTCCCACCCTTTATTGTTATGAATTTAATGAGGGAAGAGGGATGGTGTACTCTTGTCCTTTTTTCTAAAGTGTAGGGATTTTTCCACATGTTTACTGGATGTTGGCTTTCTCTCAGTTTTTTGAAGCAGTCCATGTCTTTCAGAAGGCATCTTCCACACTGGCCTGGTATGGTCTGATCACCTTTCTTCCTTAGCGGGCAGGGGCATGAAAGCTTCTCCACGTTTCGAGCAGGAACAATTTCCCAAAGGACTAGAATGAGAAAGTCTTCTTATCTTCTGGGCAGCCATGCTATTTTAATGTAATAAAACAGAGAAAAGGGCCTTATTCTTCAGGTTAGGGAGGGTTTCTGACCATTCCATGGACCCTATCTGAGGTATGGCAGTGAGGAGTAAATCTTACTGGCTTTTTGTTTTTTTCAGGGCCTTTAAATCCTGGTCCCCTAAAACCACTTCTGATCTTTCCAGCAATGTTAATCTGTTGTCATGGCGATACTTGCTTCGCAAAGTCCAGCCTCTTTAGCAGAAAGCACCTCTGGAACTGTGGTCATGTGGATGACATCCGCCCCCCAGGTATGACACATGGAGCCTCTGTCCGTGAACGAAAACGAGTCCTACAATTGTGAGCATTGTCCCTTTTGAGTGGCACCTGAGTCCTAGCTTCTTAGCCGCCTCTATGAGGACCTCTCGTAGCAGGCAGAGTGGCTCAGCCTCTGGGGTAGGGCACACGCCTCTGGCACAGGAACGACTCCCATCACAGGAGGTCGGAGGCCTCATGGTGGTCCTGGGATGAACTGGCCAATAATACCACTGGCTGACTCTCTTCCCTCAAGGAACCGCAAGCTGTGGTCACTGTGACATGAGAACAGCCTCCTCCTTCAGAGCCCAGATGTTCGCCCGATGACTTTTGAAGGCGTGGTGGTAGGCTGCCTCCCATGCCTGGCAAAGAGGATGCGATCAGCAGTCTCTATCTTCCCCACAATTAAGGCATCAGAAGGCTCACCAAATGGACTGTGCACACATTTCTCGGTTCTTCCTTCTAAGATTTCTGGATCATCCAGGCCTGTTCCACCAATTATTCAAATCTTCACAGCATAGCGGGAGGGGGGGCATGTCTGCACCCAGAAGGGCTGGGGGGTGGACACATGGAGCAGAGAAGCGGAGTGGATTTGCGCGTGCAGCCTGTAGTTGATTCTTACCTAAGACTTTTAGAAGCTCAGGGATTTTTTTAAGGAGGTGCATCTAAGCAGAAAATATGTGAGGGAGAGTGTTTGTGAAAGGGCACATGTAAAGGTTAAGAGAAATATTGGCAGGAGTTTGGTGTTAATCCCTAGATAAGGGGCAGAAACTCTTATGAAAATTTTCTGCAGTTTATAAAACAAAATTAGTCTCCACAATAACCGCACACAACACCCAATCTTTTAAAGCAGGTATGCCAGCAATCTTGGCAAGAATAAATGTCCTGTTGATAGCGTTTTACTGTTAGAGGAAAAGTAGAATTTTTTTTAATGTGCTTGTAGAAAATAGTGATATTAGAGATTCTCTGAGTAGAACCATGAGTGTAACAGCTGTAGGTTTGAACCCTGTAATTATACCAGGAAATTCTCTTCCAACTCTCCCATCTTTAATTTCACTGAAAAGGCAGGTGGCTATTTATAGATGGTATATTTTTATATATGCGTATGCGGATGGTGAATACCAGTCTCCAGGAAATCCTAGAAGAGACCAAAAGCACTCCAAAGCGGACTGAAACAATTTGTAGATCTGGCCTATTTTTCCCTTATTTCACCCTCATAAAACTTGATTCTTCAACTCTTCAATTTGTGACACTTCTTACGTCTGAATCTGTGTTCCTCACATTTCATACAAAAGTGACTAGTTAAAAGGGTACCATTAAAATGCCAGGACTTTGGGAAACACACATTGTGTCTCTTATTCTCTTAGATTTGGCGAGGGGGGGGGCATGCGGGGAAAGTTCAGTCACTTGGAAATTTCTCAATTAGTGCCACAGGTGTAGAAAGAAAGGAAGTGTGATCAAGACAATAGTAACTTGTAAGTGACCCAGTTCGAGAAGTACTGACCAAGTGGCCACTACATAAAAGGTGTTATGACAGGAACCAGAGGGATGACAGGTCAAAGCAAGAGGCACAGTCCACCGGGAAAACTTGCCACATCGCTCAGGGTAAGGAGGGCATCCCCAAGGGGAAATAAGCAACTCATTATATTTCTAGACAGAGTTTGGCAATATATGGAGCCCAAATGTTATTTGGAATAATATTACTTGACATTTGGTGGCATTTACTGTTTTCAAAAGCCACTTTCGCATTCATTATTTGACTTTATCCTCACAGTTATTATAACAGCCCTATAATGTGGAATCATTCCTATTTGAAAGATGGAGGTGGTTGTCCCTAAACCTCTCTCAGAAGACTTCACACTAACAAAATAAAATTGAGGCTATTGTGAAGGATTCCAAAGTGCATTCGCTGGGGGCCTGCTTCACTTTGCAGGAACTCTTAGGGAGCCCAGGCCCAGCTTTAATGCCGCCCAGCGGCTTGGCCCTGGCCTCAGGTTCCGTTCTGAGTTTAAGAAGTGGTCTTTGAGAAGTGGGCATATTAGGAGCAAAAAGGGGGCAATTGGGAGGCAGAGACAAATGTGTGGGGAGTTGGCAGTGGGGCAATAAGCCCATAAAGTCATGAAGGAAACCAAGCTACTCAGATGGTCAGCTTTTCACCCTCAGAAAATATGATCCCCAGACTTCAGCTGGGCCTTGCAGATTCTAGAGAACAATTCAAAGGGAAAGTATCTTGGAGGAGGTATGGCGGGACAGGGAATAGGAAATATAGCAGCAGCAATGAAAGCTTGTGTGACATAACTTAGCACAGTTTTACTTTTTCATTTCCAAAGGAAAACAAATGGCACGTAGCATTGAGCTCCAGTTTCCAGGTCTGGGGTAGCTGGAGGGAGACTGGGTGCCAGCTGGCCCCTGGCTTGCAGCAGACGAAGGGAACAAGTCCTTAAGCTAAAATCATACATTATCTTCAGAACCAACAAATTGTTTGTTGAGGACCTAGGATGTGCCAGGGTGCTGGGCTAAGCCCTGGATACAGCACACTGGCTTCTGGAACGTGTTTCCTAAGCCTTAGCCAGAGCTAAGCACATGCTTCTCATCTCACTTAGTCTCTCCAGTGAGGAGTGCACTAAAGACGCCTTCCTTTGTGTTTGCAAACCACACAGGCATACCATGTTCTACTGAGCTCCGCTTTATTGAGCCTCGCAGATATCGCGTTTTTCACAAATTAAAGGTAACACCAGCAAAAAGATTATGACTCGCTGAAGCTCAGGTGATGGCTAGCATTTTTTAGCAATATCATATTTTTAGACGTAACGGTATTGCACACTTAATAGACTACATTACAGTGTGAATATAACTCTTATATGTACTGGGAAACCAAAAAGTTCATGTGACTCCCATTACTGGGATACTTGCTTTATTGCAATGGTCTGGAACAGAAGCCACAATATCTCCATGGTATGTCTGTATCCTTCTCCCCATGATCCTACAGTACTAGCGACAAATAGGCAACTAGACCTTGATCATGTTCTGAAGACGGGAAACCATGAGGCTAGAAGCAGTTTGTTCAAGGTCATGAGTAATCCCAGGCCAGGCCAGGCCACAATATAGGATCACGCAGGTCTCCCACGGACTCTGAATCTGGCGGGCTTTCCTTCAGAACAGTGTGCTTTGGAGGTTCAGTGTAGCTAGAAGGAGAGGAAACCAAGAGGGCTAGGGGAGAGATAGGCGCTGGGAGGAGCTTT